ATCTCATAAAGATACAAAAGATCCCACACTGGAGCTGTTTCCCAATTACTAGAAAATATTTGTTCACCTTTTCTTCCCCCTGCAGGCTGCTTTAAGAGCAATATCACCCTTGTAACCAGTGCTCTCTGTTAAGTGCCTAATAATCCTCAAATTCCCTGAACATGTTTTAGAACATATCCAAATAGTACAAAATTAAGATTTTAGAAGAAAAAAGTGATAAGTGCTTTATTGCAGTCATATTTAAGGAGCACCAATATATCCTCATATTATATATATATATATATATATATTTCCCCCTCGAAAATAAAAATATTGGCTTACTTAAAGCCTTTTATCTATTCATGGTCAATTTCCACTCTGAGGTACTGTGATTTTTATCCAACAGAAATGTTAATTTTGGACTTATACTACTAAAGTGAAAATATGAAGGTTTGACCTAACAGTTCCATTTATAAGCAGTAAAACAAATAAAAACGGGAATAAATGAGGGACAAGAGGTTTATATACAAATCAGAATTATACATAATCACATAATATATGTAAAAATTTAAGAGACAGACATGCATCTACTCTCGCCCCCTTGAAGGGATGGTAGGTGGCACATGGAAAATTCTGGTCTTTTAGACAGATTCATGTAGACTCAGAATGCTATGGCCAGAAGGTGTTATATTTTGTTATACATTATACCAAATGTCTTCTTTCTGAAGCTGTTTTGATTCTTCCTTTACAGTGAAGATACAGTTAGATATCTTTATTTTAGTAGCTTATATTATTCCTCATCCACCATCTGAGGAAGACTGGTGGCCACAATCTCTTCAGCATGTGAGGTGCTGCCTGAGTGACTGAGGGGTCATTAACGGGTACAGCTTTACCTCAGAATATTGGTGGCAACACTGAGTTTATTCTGTGACCTAATTCCCTTGTCACTCATATCCACAAAATATGCCACAGTGCTTGTGTACAGTTCCTTTTTAATTAAACTAATGTAGAGTCCTCAACTGTTTTATTCTTTTACCTTAGCTGAGGACACTAAGTTTTCACTGCTTTAAAATGTTTTTTAAGTGACAGGATTGACTGAGAAATAATAACTTGTTTATGGCTTTGTTTGTTTTGTCCAAGGTAGGAGCCCCCAAGGAAATTGATACTTAAGTAGTTGGTCTATGGAGAGAGATGAGCTGTACATCCTAACAAGATGTACAGGAGACAAGTTATTATAAAGTCGGAAGATAGGGGAGTGTCCTGTTCAGCTTTCTGCTTGGCCGGTCAGCTGACCGTGGCCTCCCTCACACTCAACTTTCAGCTGCACCTAAAGTTGAGTCAGCTCCAATCCAGTACTCCTAACACTGCCAGCTAAGCACCCTGGTGATTTCTACTTACTTTTATAGCTGTCTCCCTCCTTCGCTCCCTCCTCCTCCTATCTGGGGACCCTAAACATTGGGGCAGAAGAAAATACAGAACTAGAGAAAAGGCAATTTTTCTGGGGGCAGGGGGGATTCAAAATATTTCTAAAAATTGAGAGGGGAAATATCTGTGATGTTGCAATCTGTATTTTTAATTTCTGGATTCCTAACTCATGGCATATTTAACAGAAGCACTACAAAGCAGCATTGACAGGACTTTTTTATTTTTCTTCTTCCTTGACCTAAGAAACTGATTCTAGCAATAGCAACAGTGAGATGGATAGAAGTTCCTCGTGTCATGCTTCTTGTTCCATGGGGCTCCAAGCCTCACAAAATTTACTAGGATTCTATTTGACAAACAACTAGTTTGGTAATTTTATCTTAGTGTATTGACTTGATAATTCAGTTAAAACATACAAACTGGGTCAGTGTGCATTACTCAGATTGGGAGAAGTACACAGAGAGCCACAAACTACAGAGATGCATATAGAAAAGGAATTGAGCCCTTTGGTCCAACTCTTGGTGACTATACCAGCACATCGCTAACAGAGTACCCAAAGTCCTAGGCATAGAGGACAAGCATCCTTTATATTCCTGAATCTTATTCATGAACAGATTTTGTGGGATGCCAGGAAGACGAAAGGGTATGTCAGAATCACAATGACAAAGCATGCATACCTATTGATATTCTAGATGACATTAAACAAAAACACTGATAGGACCAGGGCATGAACATACTAATCCAGAACCTAGTTACTTGATGCAAGAATTAGACATGTGAGGGGTAGAATTTATAACCTATACTGCCATCTGTTAAAAGTTATAGTAAAACAGGCAAGTAATGGGGTACTTCACATCTGTTGTGTTATACTGGAAATAGTAATAGAAAGTATCTGCCATCATTTGTTGAAGTGCCAGGCTTTGCAGAGCCCCACTGATGTCTATCTCATTTTGCAGATGAGAAAAAGGCACAGAAGATTAAGGCTGTAAAAGTACAGAGAGCTAGCAAGGAGCAGGACTGATTTTCAAACTTAGGTCTGACTTTTAATCTCATGCTTTTTTTCACTTTGTCATTCTACTTCTCAAGACTGGGCAAAGTTGAAAAATAGGGCTGTAGTATTTTAATCCATCCCTGGATAGTCCATATTAACGCTAACCAATTGGTTTTTCTTCCAATTTCCATATTCTGTTTGAAACAAAATTATTTGATTAGTCCAGATGCTTTGATGAAGAATCTCTGGAAAATGATCAAGGGAGGAGAAATTAGGGAGAAAGCATGTAAAATTTCCTGGATTTGCTATCTGTTAAGAGTTTGGTTCATCCTCATTTCTTTAATAGCATGGGATCTTCTTTCTAATGAATAACCAGTGGCACTGTGTATGTGTAGGGTAAGTGAAGAAAATTATTGAGGAGGGTGGTGCCATGTAATTGAAAATGATTTGTGGTAGTCATATGCTCTTTTACTGGCTATAGAGAAATAGGGACGCCAGGGTATGGTAGGCTGAGGTGTACTACACTCATTCATTATTTGAAAATTTGAAAAAAACCCTGCAAATTAGAATAAGGCATATATCACCACAAAAGACCAATGATCTAAGGAGCCCTCAAAGGATTCTGGGTAATGCTCAAAGCCACATGGGAGGAGACTTGGTAATGTTGAGTAAAGTAGGGTTCATTCAGCAAATCACTTGACCACGATGGGTATGCCATGGATGCATCCTCTCTTTCAAACTGTGGTTATTTGGTAGTTTTCAAAGTACAGAGACAAAAGATCATACACTTTTGTTGAATCATTACCAGTCTTCATGTACTTCACGCAGAGGAACAGAAAGTAAGATCAATTTTGGAAAAGAATGATGCCTTACATCAACTGCAGTTAATCAGGAAGTAGAGAATAAACATGAGGCAATGAAATACAAATTAAAACTCTTTCCTCTTTTCTTCAGGAAGAAGAGCAATACATTATTCTTTCCTAGTCTTCTAGTATTCTGGAATGGTGGTGCTAATTGATTAGTAAGACAATAATTAGACTTAATGATCTGCTACTCTGCCTTTTAGTCACAATAGAGTTAGAATATACAAGAATTAACAGCATCAATTGGAAGAACAAATTAATCATCTTTTCAAAATTTCTCTCTTTCTTACATCCAGTGTTGACACCAAATACTTGATATATTCTTGTATGCAACCCAGAATACATAAAAGAAAATTCGAATTTTATCATGAAGTAGAAACACTGATGAAGCAGGATTCTGAAGTTCATTTAATTCAGCAGTATCTTCCTATAAGGTATTTTAATAGTTTTTCTTTCACTTATTACTAAAGGATTTTGCAGGCCTTTATCTCATCCTACACAGACATACGGAAGATGTGTAAATGAGCTTTATTTTCAGCTGCTTTGGTTTGGAAATAATGGTAAGTGCTTTTCACACAAACTAAAGGAATCATACTGTTATGACCTTGATCTTGAATGGGAATGTTTGATTTTTACATCAATTATGGAGACTAGCTATAAAAGTGGCTGTATTCATTGAACTAAGCAAGGTGATGAGCTACATCACTCTAGTTTTTTGTTAAAGAAAACCTGGTGTGCTAGCAACTTGCAGTGTTGTAAGGTACACCGCAAAGGGCATGGTGTGAAATACAGAAGAGGGCAAAGCAGGTTTCTCTGAAAATGAAGAAGTCATTTTTAGGTTTAGGCCAACCCATGCAGGTGGGTTTAAGAGCTGTCCAAGTGAAGCCTTGTTTTTATAATCTGTCACCCCTAACACGTCAGGTCAGTTCTTCCTGTAGACTCGGGCATATACCACCATGTGAGGGCTCTCCGCATGCTATCATTTCAAAGATGGTTCTTCTAAACCCAGTGGATTCTTTGAAAAGAGATGTATCTGCAGCAGTAACTGCCCAATTCCCTTTTACAGGAACCGACCCAAACTACCCATGAAACAAGTGTAATGAAACTCATGAAATTTCCTAGATGCCATATACTTCTTTGAACCAAATGTAAGTACAGACCAAGAGGGGACTGTTTGCTAGGTGATATGTGACATGTTAAGAGTTATGCTCATTTATGTTAAGTTGTTAGGAACTATGCAAATACATTTGTATAATCCAAACACTTAAAAGTGCAACATGGGCCCCAAATAATAAATGAATATGTGGAAAGAGATGAAATAACTAGCTTAGACCTAAAATTCTGCACCATCATTTCACAGACAGTGGTGTAGCCTGATGCTTCAAGTAAATTTTTGGGTAAACTTGGAATGAAATAATTCTTGAAAGCATCAATGCCTCTTGTTTTTGTATATGTTTTGATAGAACCACCTCACTTTCCACATAATTTGGAAACAAACCAAATTTGAAATGAGGCATTGTAAACTCGAAAAGAATAGTCTGGGCTGGGTCAAATGTTTGTGACTATAATATTTCATAATGAGGGAAAATCTAAGTGAATAGGGTAGGGAACAACTTAAAGCCTTTCCCCAAACAAGCCAGAATTTTGGAAATCAAAATGATCAACATACATCAGATGATAATCAGTCATTTTACCTTGAAAACAAGAGAAGTGAAATCTTTAGAAATGTCAAGTGACCAAACAAGTATGTGCAGAAATTAACTTTTGTTTTTATTATATATCATATAATGTAGTAGTAAAGTTTGTTTGAAGTGCATGAATAAAAAGTTAGTGAAATTACAGGAGGAACAATCTATATAGCAATAATAGGTGCATTCCCTGTGCATCTGAAAGAAAAAAAAAAAAAGAGTTTTCACTCATTTTGGCCTAAAACTTAGTGTTCAGGTTCCCAGGATTCTGACATCAGAACCCGGATAACGCTGATTAGAACCATAGGGGCTTTACAATAAAAGCTAAAATATTGACCATATGATGGCAAAAAGTCTTATTTTGTGGTTAACTGATTCTCTTCTAGCTACTCTCTGATGAAGTTGGTGGCGCTGTAGAGGAGGACCGCCGCCTCCTGGATGAGGACCGGGACCGCTCAGCATTGTAGGTGACGTGCTTGTCGTAGCTCTCCATCTGAGTCTCAATGAAGTCTCTCTGCTGCTGCCTGATGGTCTGGCTGATGAGTCCAGGGAGGGCATGGATGCTACCAATCAGAGTCTCTAATTTTGTTTCCAGAGTAACAATCCTCTTTTCAAAGTCTTCACTCCTTTCATTTAAGTCGGAAATCATGTCATACATGATATTCTGGGTCTGGAAAACAGGATTGAGAGGAATAGAGAAACAAAGAACTAAGGCTTAATTACACTGGCCCAGGAAGCAAACTGTCAACTCTTAGAGCTTGAGGGCTGGTCTCTCATTTCGGTCACATCCAGTGCAACAGGGCTGGGGGTGTCAGCTAACTGAACACTTTACCTTGCAACACAAATTAAGCGATTCTGTTCAATGCCAGGATTCAGAATTTTAAGATCTTAGGCATTAATTGGATCCAGTTACAGATAATGTTGTACAGGTACTGCTGGTGGTATGCCCAATGATTTCAGGTGGTGTACAGAGAAGAAACACACATGTTTTGATTTAATATTTATGTATATATTTGAGTGGTTGTTACAAAAGTTAGCACATGCAATTCATTTTGCAACTTGTAATATTAGGGCAAATTCTGCTGACTTTTAAAAACAAGCAGATTGAAAGAACAGCAAATAGTACAGTTGGTATTGGGGTGTAGCAGAAATTTAGAGGGTGGAATATGAATGAAGTTTAAGACAAACTGATGTGATCACTTAATTTTGGAATTTAAAGCTTTAAAAAAATTTCTGAATATCTTTTGCTGTCCTATGTTTCAATGACTCTGCATTGGGTCAAACAGCAGTTTTACAGATAATCATTGAGGGAATGAAAGGTGGAGCTACTGAAGTTACTAGGCCACCTTGTTGGATATGGCTTAATCAGATGCTAAGTGGTTTAAAACAGGAAGATGTTTTTGGTGCCCTAGTGAGTCTTGCAATTGATTGTGTTGAGCAGAGGGTGTTCAGAACCCTGACTCCCAGTTATATTTCTGGAAGTATCCCAGAAACAAAGAAAGAGGACCTCAGAGCTGATCAGTGCAGAGCTAGAGCGGGGAGAGGGTGGCCAGGAAGGGAAGCAATGGGGATGCTGGCCTTAGCTCTGTGCAGTATTCCCCAAGTGTCAGGCCCTTTGTCTAAGCCTCCCTTCCTCCTTTACCTCATTTCTCTTTGTAATATGTGCTCTTATCCTGCTAAACAATCCTGTTTAAACAACCTCTTAATGATGATAAACTGATTATATAAAGAAGTTACTATTCCAAACACAGGCAACTAGTCTGAGTTTGGCTATGGAGACAGAGCACTTTATCTTTATTTTCACTACATAGTGTTGAGACCTTGTGAACAACGTCCATTCATTCAGAAAATATTGAATCCTTGTGGCATGGACAGTTCTGCAGTTATAAGAAGAAGCATGGCACTAAGGAATTGATTTGAAAGAAACAGCATCTTGCCTCATAGATATACTCTCACAGTACAGAAAGTAAAATGATATAGCTATTATAATGCATATTACATTACATATTATAATATACATAGTAAAGTGATATATCTTATATGTATTATTTCCAAGTGGTCTGTTTAATTTTTCCATAAAAATTCCTAATTTCTTTTATCATTTGACCTAGGAGTGATGTAAGAGCCTGCCCCACCTTTGTTCATGATGTGTCCAAGCAAGTCAAGTGTGTAAATGTTGATCGAGGCTGTCTTTGAGTCTCATATATGTGTGCTGCCCAGCTTAAATGCATGATATATACTCTCCTACAGGTAAACCATTAAATTTTTATCATCTTCTATTTATGAGATAGCAATATTTATCTTCAACATTTATATAGCATTTGTTATTGATATACATTAAAATGGATATAATTTAGGTTGTTATTTCGTGAGATTTGGAAAAATATTTGTAGTTCTTATGTATTATACTTGAAGCTTTATAAAAGACAAAGCTGATTTATCAAACAACAGAACATACAGGTCCAACTGAGAGTTGCCTCTTTCAAAGCATTTGTATTAAAAGGCCAAACACTTACATAAATGCTATTCTAATCTTTTGTTTAGAATTAGTTCAAGAAAATGTACTGTGATTGTTGACAAATATTCATATTTTGAAAGTGGAGTTTACATGGGAAGAATAACCAAAAATCAACCAAATACATCTTAAAAACGTGACAGAAAAATTTGGGGACTATTAATGTACTTTTAAAAAGAGGTAAAATTTTTAAATTATGAAACGGAGAACCATAAATTATAAAAAGTGATCACTTTTTTTGAAAGACAACTTTCATTTTAAGATGTAATTTCTGGTATTTATTCAAAATTCCAACTTTACATTCTTCTGAGTTTGCTTAAAATACATAAAAAATAATTTTACTGGTGAGTTCCATTTAGCCGTGAACCTCACAGTAGAACCCAGGACGTCGTTCTGTTCGCATAAGGATGAGACTAAACTACAAATGAGAATCCCAAAGGTATTATCTCATATTCCACTTATGTTTCTTTCTGTACACCCAAATCACTGCAAGTAGGAAAGCTTTTAGAATGCGAGTTGAATAATGTACCTAGGGGAACAGCATATTAAGGAAGAGTTTTAAAAATCTCTTTTAAGTTGGACCATCATTTTAGGGCAGTTTGTTGGTATGATTTGTTAAATAAATTTGGGATGGCCTCCTCCAAAAGCATTATTAGTTATTATGCCGTAGTTAATTACAACTGATGCAGTCATGAGGGCTGGGACCCCAAGTTTACCTTTGCCAGGTCCACCAAGGTATTTGCTTGGTCATTCAGTTTCCTCTGCTCCATTTTTACACTTCTTAATCTAAAAGACAGAATCTGAAGTCAGAAAGTTTCCTTTTCCACAACTATCAGACGCCTTCCAAAAAGCATGCACAAAATTGACAAGAGCAAATAACTGCATGGATAATGCCTTGAATATTTGGGGTAAAGTCCAAACTGGTTATGCATCTGGTACAATGAGAAGCATGCTTCCCCAACACCGCAAAAGGGAAAGGAGAGAGACTAAGGGATGAGGTGTCCTTCGGACAACTATTCACCAGGTAGTTAACGTTGAATTAAGAAAGGCTCATAAGGTTTAACCACATGAGAAAAGCCAAAACATTCCTTAAAGCCCCAGTATCATGACAAATAGACATAGGAAGAAATATGCAAAGCAACTGGAATTGCATCAATGAAGCAGTGAGCAACTTCCTATGCCTACGTGACTAGATACAGGTGTTAGCCCTGTTTAGTCTGAAATGGATTGGGTTAGGTATTTGAACCTGATGAAACACAGTGATAAGTGAGATTCTTATTAGCAAAAATAAAACTTTTATTCAACCAGCAGCAAGATTAACTCAAAACACCTAACTCTCATGTTTCATTGTATTTCACTTGACTCTTATCTTACACTGACATTGAATTTGAGGAGAAGCCAGACCATTTCCTTGGGCGAATTTCCCTTAATTTTTATGGTAGATAAAAGTCAGAGGACAATTAAAGTGTCTGACAGATGGGACCGTTACTTGTAAAGTTACTTTTAGGTACTATAAAAATATCATGACACGCATCTAATTGACAGTCAAAAAGCCACTGTTCAAAAATAAATCTTTCGGAATGAGAACTCGTAACTATTCCTTAATTTATGTACTATAATATTTCAACAAGTATTTAATTCAGTACTTACTATGGTACCAAGAAATTAAGATTTTCCAACAAGAAACAAGTGCTGTATTGCTCTTTCTTTAAGCCAACAATTCAAAGCCTTGCTCCAAAAGAGCAGCAGGTCTCTCTAAGCTACTTAATGAAAAAATAAAAAAATAAAAACTTTCTAATCTTATTACCTTGATGAGGAATCGTTTTACAAAGTATAGTGTTAATGTTGCAAAGAATACTTTTTATGCTGCAAAGAATACTTTTTATTATTTCCCAATTTAAATTAAAGGTAATTACACAGAAGGAATAAAAAATCACAGGGCAAGATTTTACTGCCAGGGAGGTTTTTGTAATAAATGTTCACCATGCTCAGTGATTTTGTTCTGAAACTAGGAGATCCAATATATCACTAAATCTGCTCTACATTAAAGATATAGTTCCTTCTGCCAGTAAGAGTTTAACTGACACCTGCCTACAACACGCTCTTTAACAATGTAAAACAGTTTAAAGTTGTAACTTGTCACTGCGCCTATGTGTTTCTCTATTAGAACACTTGGAACTAGGTTAACTGGATCCTTTTTGTACTATTATGAAGATGAAATACGTTCTAGTCTAAAAGAAATTTACAAACATAGATTTAACTCTAACATGTTGTTAAAAAATGTTTCCCTATGTGCTTACAAGAGCTACAAGTCTTGATGTATGCCTTTGAAAAACAAAAAAGTCAATGACAAAAAAAAACCCCTTCTCCCCCCCCGCCCCCCAAAAAACCCCAAAAAACAAAAACTTTAAACATGTGTAAGTTACTACAGAGAAATGTAGTGGGTCAGTGAGAGAACAACAATGTCAGACATGGATTCCATCTTCTCCCTGACCCCAATTTGACCTTCAGTTTCTTCATGTATGACAGTAAGTGGGTTAGGGTAGGAGAGTGTTTCTGAAGTGCTGGATTTATACCAGGAGGTGTTCTAAGTGACTGATACTCAACAAGACATTAAAGAATATTAAAACAGAGGGAGAGACACTCATTCCCCTTAATTCTCTTCTAATTCTTGATTATTATAAGAAAAACGTGTCAGGATGGTGCTATCCTGTTTTTATCTTCTAACACCTGCTTTCTTCTCCTTTTTAAAAAAGAGAGGGCAGGCTTTCAGCTCAGAGCTTTCTGAAGACAACAGCCTCTGGCTAGAAGGCAATACCAGTGTTTCAATTGTCAATTGCTATCACCTTTACCTCTCTTGGCTGGGAATGATATATTTTAAAAATCTATTTATGATAATAATTTAGATCAAGCTTTCTTTTAAAATTGAAGTAAGTAATAGTGTAGCTGGCACATGAACGACTGAAGTTTGGGGAAACAGACCAGAGGCCTCCAGCAACTTGTGAGTACAGAGAAAGTCCTGAACTCAGCAAGTCTGGTAGAAGGGTCAGTGGCTGAGATAGGACTTCATATTCCAAACAATGGAGCCTGATTTACTTCTCTGGGATTACTATGTTATATTTCTGACAGTAGAATTTTGCCCATTTTGTTTTCTAACCTGGAAAGCTGACCTTGCTAGAGTAGCCCTATTTGATTGAAATTCCTTTAGCTCCCTGAACTTAAATCATCTTGCCTTGTTGCTTCTTAGACTGCCTGTGATGTAGGAGAACTGACAGAAAAAGCCTACTTAAGCTGCAGCTGCCAGAATAAAAGGTAACATGCAGATGTGTATTTTACTTTCCCCCCCACAAAAAAGAATAAGAAACATATGTTGATTTCTTCCTTGTGAACTTCACTTATCACAGGAAAATATCATGATTTTTGGATCACATTTCCATAGCAGCAATCAGACTACTAAAATTCACAAATAAAGGATCCGCTTGGGTGCATGCAGCCAGTAGAAAATTCTGCAAATGTTGAAAGGAGCGGCTCACACAACTTACTTCCGAGCTCTATTTTCATTTTGTTGAAATAAAAAGACAAAAGAAAAGAAACTGTAAAATATTCTGGAACAAAATATCACAGTGTGGTGTTCAGTTGTGCACAGGGGGCTCGATTCATTGGCTGGAAGCTCCTGTTAAGATTCTGCAGGATTTTGGCATATTGATCAAAGAGAAACACTATTCAATTATATTATCATCGCTCTTCATGGCTACTATTCTTCATCCACCTGAAAGCCCATAGTTTCCTCCAGAACTAGAGTTCGGAAGGAAGAATCTGTATCATGTCATCTTGGCCTCTGTGATACATGATGTTCAAGTAAACAGTAGGAAACTTTTTTTTTTCCTGCCTAATATGAATGTTAAACGGACAGTAGTCTAAATAGGATTATAATGTTTTGGTTTTTTTTTTTGAAGGGGTACATCTTTTCTGAGTTGGAGTTATTTATTATAGAAGCCTGGCTTTGTGAAAGGTAGGTAATGCAACACTCTATGTTATAAAAGTTATGTTTATTGAATTTCTTGACTCTGTGACAAGTTCATGTTGATTGATGAGTCTATAGTTCAGATAGAAGAATGATAAAGTTTAAAGTTAAAGCTGCTACCAGAAAAAGGGTGAAAAGTTATAGAAACCAAATGCTTCATGGCACTAAGTGATAATCCAAAAAGACAGATGCGTTACTGAAAAGAGGACAGAAGCCTACAGAGGTCGGCATCCATCAGAGAGACTAGAGAGGTCACGTGTTGGGTAGAGAGGCTATGAAGCTTGGAAAAAAGAGAGTTGAAATAGAGAGGGAAATGGCAGAAGGGGACAGAGAGCTATTGAAAAAGTTCTGAGGACAAATCAGAAAACAGGAGAGGCCAGGAGAGCTCTAGCAAATGAATTTGTCAGTTTTTCCTCAACTAGCAAAGTCCGACTTCACCCAGGGCTGACAGTCTCACTGGGTGTGAACCGTGGGCAATAAAGGCCTTGCCCTTAGGAATCGAGCCCTATGTGCTTTTCTTTATGACTTCACTAACTTAAAATGAAAGACAATTATGCATGATTAGAATCATCTAGCCAAAC